AAAAATGAAGTTCAAAAATTTGAAAATTCGAATTTCCAGCTAAAAAGGCTCATATTGGAGGGGAGAAGAATAACCTGAGGCGATGATCGGGCACTATCAGGTAATGATGATGTTTCGCGATTGCTGGCGGATGCTGTTTGCACTTTGCTGACCCTGGTGCAATCAGTTACCTTTGATCGCTTCTTCCGCGGCACAAACGGACTGAAAGCGATGAAAATCAATTAACAGAAGTAACAATTAGTATTAGCTACTAGATCTTTTTGCCCACAAGTCATATATTAGGTAGAACAGATTGCAATGAATTTTGTTGCCCTGGACGTGAGTTTTGTTCCCCCGTATATGCCAGTACCAGTAATTGCAGATTTGTTCTTAAATAATAATACATAAAAAAAAAGCTATAAATTACCTTAAATCATCCGTTTTGCGCATTGTTGGTGTGGCCGGTGATGCAGCTTTAAGGTGTGGAACAAATGGATTAAAAGTGCTGTGTGGTGCAGAAGCGGATGGAAATATACCGGAATGATGATGAGGTGGTGCTGGAGGGGGTGGTGGTAGCGTGTTCTGCATGAATGGATTCGGAAACGGCGTGGACTGACCGTTAAATGAATGGTACAACGGATGGAAGAGGAACGGATTACGGGTGACCGCTGCAGCCGCTGCCTGTTCACGCTGCTGCTCCGCCAATGCTGCTGACGTACGCTGTGCACTGGCCGCCGCTTCCGCTGCTATAAATTCGGCAATAATCTGCAAAAAACACTGCATCTTTTCAAAAATCCTACAAAACCCGTAAAGGGATACTTCACATACTGTTCAAGTTGCATCTGGACAAGCCAACAGTATTACAGCAACCAGAGCTACAGTATCCATTCGCTATCAGGTAGGACTGTAACTCGCAAATTTCGCCTGATATTTATTCTTTACTAGGTAAAAAAGTAAGGACATAGCGGTATACTAACTTCCTTCTCTGTGCTCTAATGATACCGTAATCCGGTATCGTGTTCTTGACCCTTAAGGACTACGATAAAAGCTTGAATCGGGCTGCCACGACGATGCGATCACAGTACGATGCTGTAGTGTTACAGAGGCTCAAAAATTCTCCCGCTCACCACTGAATAACTGAGATGAGGGTGCTATTCCGTGGTACTACTGATACTGTTTAAGTAACAACTGTCCTTGATCAAGCAGAATCCAGCAGAGTATGGTACCAACACAAAAGGCTTCCAAGGTAAGCAAGAAAATATGAATCCAAAGGTCTCGAGGATTTTGATATCTAACACCAGCAGAGTACCATTAAGACGAATTAACGAGTCGTAAGGATACAGGTTCCTGAATAACTACATGAAAATTGGGATTCTTTGCGCGTGTTGGAGTAGCGCGTAGTTAAACACCAAGGCACTATGTTTGTTGGTGAAAAAAAAGCTTAAGGCGAGTAACCTTATCGACGCTATTGTTTAGTCCATTGATAAGCTCCTGTTTCAGTGATTGCGCCAGTTTGGCGTAATCTCGCTGTATCTGTTGTTGGATGAGTTGAATTTGGGCTCGTTTCTGCTCCTCGTCATTGGCTCCAAAAAATTTCTTCTGCTGTTCAATCCAGTTTGAATAGATTCGCCTTTGCATTTCAATCATTTCCTGTATCCTGTTCTGCAACACTCAATGAAATGAGGCCAGCCGTGACGCAACTGTTATAAAACGGACCCTTTTTTTTAAGCAAGCAAATGTTGCTTTTCAGTCGTTAAATTTGTACATTTATGAATTTTGTAAATTTTTCAAGGTTTTCATGAAATCACTGCTGCGACTACTCGTTAGGCCTGCGTGTTGCTCATCTTGCTAACAAATGTGGGAGTTTTGCATCAATGTGTGGTACTCACATGGCACAGAAGAGCGTGGCACAGAAGTGCCCGGTATATGCGAATATCTTAATAACATCACTAGCATGTGATATCTCATTCCGACTGTTTATGTTTTTCTCATCACTTGATAAAGTTGTCAGTAGCAAAGATG